AGAATTCGTAATGCATAAAAATGTTATCTAAACAAAATTTAAGCTCTGTGGAAATTCTACCGTAAATGACTCATTTAAACAGTGAATATGCAAATTTGTTAAAAATCATACCTAATTGTGGTTTCACACAAAAAAAAAAATTGATTTTACGTTTTTTTTTTTTTAAAGTGAGCATGGTCTTCTTGGTATATGGATGAATTATCAAGATCTACAAAAAAAAAAATGAAGAAGATTTATGGAAATTTTCTTCTTTCCAAAATTAGCTTACTAAATTCAATTGACTCTGTGTAGGATTGGTACCTCGTTAAGGATGCTATCAATAAATTCGATTGTTGACCACCCAAATATTTTTTGAATTGAAATGCGGGAAGTTTCCAAACTTAAAAACTTAGCAAAAAAACTTAAAAACAAAAATATTAGATTTATATGATCTTTACAATTTAAGTCCAGCTTTTGTAGAATTCGCATTATTGATGTTGATAGAGAATTCGCATTATAAATATTGTGTGTTATCTTGTAAATAATTTAATGATTACTGTAGAAGAGTAACTAATTTTGTTGTTAATAATATAATGATTACTGTAGAAGAGTAACTAATTTTGTTGTGAATAACACAAAACGACAGGTGGTAAAAAGGTGCAGCTATGTGGAGTGGCACAGTACGGGAATCTCGTAGGGGTCACTATTGGTTACACCATCACTGCCTCCATAAGCTTAATGTAAGTTCCAACAACTTGTGATTTATTGTAGTTATTGGTTACAAAACATGTTGTGAAGAAAAATACTAAGGTTTGATTAATGTTGTGTTTGGTTAGAGCGATTGGGAAAGCAAATTGTTTTCATGACAAGGGACATAGTGCAAAATGTTCTGTATCGCCTTATCCATACATGGCTGCATTTGGGGTCGTCCAGATTATTCTTAGTCAGATTCCTAATTTTCACAAGCTTTCTTTTCTCTCCATTATCGCCGCAGTTATGTCCTTCTCTTATGCGTCTATCGGGATCGGATTGGCTATAGCCAATGTAGCAAGTACAATCTCATTTCCTTCTTTCTTCTGAATTACAAAATATTTACGTAGAACCGTCTCAAACTATTTGGAAACTACAGTTTTGAAAGTTGAAACTAACGGTGAAAATGGTAAAATATGGAAGGTGGGAAAACTGGTAAGACAGAACTGACAGGCACGGTGATAGGAGTGGACGTATCTGCGTCTGAAAAAGTTTGGAGGTTGTTTCAAGCGATTGGGGACATTGCGTTTTCGTACGCTTTTACGACTATTCTCATTGAGATTCAGGTATATATGTACTGATCCTAGTATACATATCTTTCATTTACTTCTTATTTGCATTTTTAATTTTAGTCCATATATATGATATATTGGTTAGAATATGGACCTATTGATGTTTCTTGTGCTTAGAGATTACTAACAATTACTTTTGATGGCATTTACCTTGAAGATAAGATGTTGTGTTATCAACTATAGACACGTACAAAAAAAAAAAGAGTTTGATTGATGGATATAAAATGATTCAATTAGCTAGATATGTGAAGCTCAAATTTGTTTCTCTGTTTTTGCAGGACACATTGAGATCAAGCCCACCAGAAAACAAAGTAATGAAAAAAGCAAGTCTTGCTGGAGTCTCAACCACAACTGTTTTCTACATCTTATGTGGCTGCATCGGATATGCAACGTTCGGAAACAATGCACCTGGTGACTTCCTTACCGACTTTGGTTTTTACGAACCTTATTGGCTCGTCGACTTTGCCAATGCTTGCATTGCTCTCCATCTATTGGGTGCCTATCAGGTAACTCTCAAACACAAGTAAAGGGACAAGTGTGTATAGCATTCACAATGTTGAAGCTCATGAATCAAACTTATCATTGATGACTTCTTTACAATTGGGAAATATCCAAACTTAAAAAGTTTTTTACTTCTAAAAATGCTATTTTGTTTTTATCTCTATATAATTTGCAGGTGTATGCGCAACCTTTTTTCCAATTTGTTGAGAACAAATGCAACAAAAAGTGGCCAGAAAGCAATTTCATCAAGCATGAATACTCGTCGGACATACCTTTGCTCGGAAAATGTCGTGTCAACCTCTTTAGATTGGTGTGGAGGACAGTCTATGTGATTTTGACAACAGTTGTAGCAATGATATTCCCCTTCTTCAACTCTATTTTGGGGTTGCTCGGTGCACTCGGCTTCTGGCCGCTAACAGTTTATTTCCCGGTGGCAATGCACATTGCGCAGAAAAAGGTTAAGAAGTATTCTCCAAGATGGCTGGCCCTGAACCTCCTCGTATTGGTTTGCTTGGTTGTCTCGTCTCTAGCCGCGGTAGGATCCGTTGTTGGCCTAATAGGAAGTGTCAAGACTTACAAGCCTTTCAAGAATTTAGACTAGTATCAATTGTGATCTACTGATCTATATATATCTGAATTATAAGATAACTAGTATTTGTGCTAGCCAAACAGTTATTAGTTAGTGTTTCTTCAAATAATGTTGATGATATTTTAGCTTCCGCATTCTTCTGGATGAGATCAATTTCGAGGTTAATTGTTATTATTAGGGGTGGGCACAATTCCCGTCCCGTTCCGTTCCGTCTTATTCCGTAACCGTTCCCAAATTCCCGTCCCATATATTTCCCGTATTCCCATATGGGATAAGTTTTCAATTTCCGATTATGAACGAGACGGGAACGGGAATTCCCGAAATCCCGTTTAC